AATGCAAAATAGTGACAAACCCAGACATTTATCTAGCACTGTTTCTCTGAGTAAAATCTTATCAGTAGGTTCTGGTACAGTGGAGGAAATATGAGGTTTCTTACAATGAACATCCACATCCACCCAGTCAGACTGCCCAAATCCAATGTCGTTGTGAGCTATGCAGGAAACAGAAGTGTGTCGTGTAATGTTGTGGAAGGACATTCTTCCCTGAGTGGAGTTTCTTTCAGTGGTCAGGCCCATGTGTCTTCTCAACCATGAGTATGTGTGTGGTTGGGGGTTATACTTGGCAGCACATGTCATGTGGATGCTGCCCCCCTCGTCCACTGCTTTGTTTTCCATTTTCAGAATTACAGCGACAGGTTTATCTGCAAATAGAAGAAATCATTGCAGTAAGACAGTTCTACAGTAGTGTCCAGGATATGTTGACGTATGTTTGTCTTTTATTGCGTTTTAAACACACAAACCGCTTCACTTACATAAAATGTTGAGTGTTATTTCTTGACTGTGTGCGGTGAAGGTTGTGAACTGTGCAGAACAATTCATTTTGCTCTTGTGCATTTTGTATGTTGCCAATCCGTGCATTGTTTCTCTATATAACCACTGGCCTCGCACTGCCTTAGTGATAGTGGAGTTTTCCAGAAACAAGCTTTTGCTCCAGTGAATGGATGGAGGTGAGGACGGGCAGGAGAAGTCAACGCTGCAGGTGGCCTGGAAAATTTCCCCCTCCACTATTTCCCTCCTAACAGAGATGATGGGAGTCTTTTTCTCTGCAAGTCAAAGCAAAGTGATGATAGAAAAACAATGAAAATGAAAAGTTTGGGTAAGGTGCAGATCAAGCGTGCATTGCTTAAGATCAGTAACTTTCCAGCTTTCAGGTACAGTCAGGTAGCGCTGCCACGGTTAGCCAACATAACATTAAAACACAGGCGCTATTCATTGCAGAAGGACTTTACATCTGCTTTCTTCTCTCCTCTTCTCTGTGCTCACGACGACTGTATAAGAAAACAGCCAATACAGCTGTTGTCATTTAGGATTTTTCTGTCTGTGTTGTCAGATGATGGAAAATGAAATACTGACTGAAACACATCCCAGTCGTCTACATGTTAACCAGCAGCCACTTCCAAACTGCTGCTCCGCAACGTAAAAATCCTGATTTCATAACTACGACATGGCCGATTGACTCATCATAGGCAAATTTAAAACAGCAGCTGTCCTGTAGCCATGTCGAGACTATACTTTCATAAAATTCAAATCTATTACAAAGACCAGACAACAATTCCACAATGAAAAATTTGCATTAGCTGCTCCATGCTTGAAAACTATCCACCATAATGGTGATGTGTTTTGCATAATATGCAGACAAAATGTTTTAACAATGTCCAAAAAATTACGCAATGACAACAGTTGAATGAAATGGTCATTTTGTTTTTTTAGATTAATCAACTAACCAGTACATTTAATATTTAGTGTTTTACCTTATATACTGTATTCATCCTGCAAGGGATTTGGGGTAACTCAGTCTTGGATGTTCTAAATTAAATTAAAGTTTAAAAATATTTACTTACCCACAGAGATAGTTACAGTTTGATCATAGAATCTTTGACTCTCAGAATTTGGGTTGATCCACACATAAACTTGTAGACGGTTGTCATTTCTTCTCACATTATTAATCATCAGAGAGCAGTTTCCTTCTGCAGCTTTACCCAATACTGAAGTGCGTCCTTTGAACTGGCTTTCCACTTTATCAGGCTGATGTCCATGATACACGACAGGATAGTGTATCTTGTGGTACTGGTACCAAATGACCCAAGAATGGGGTTGTGTCTGACATGGCACCACAACACAACTCCCTTCCACTGCAGTAACTGTTCTGGGTGCAGTGATGGTCCAGCTTCCCACCTGCTGGAGAACTGAGACGCCTTTGTGAGGGTGAGAAGAAGGAAGAAGCAATTAGAGTAGAAGACAACAGATGTCATGCCATTTTTGGTTACGTATGAGAAAATAAAGTACGTGACACACAGCAGGAAGCTCTGATGCACAGAGACAAGCCACTATGAAAAGCAAATGACCACAAAGCTCAGTCTGCTGTAACACTTCGAGGCGTTTACCAAAAAAAAATGATCCAAAAAAATCTCTATGAGTTCTCAGAAACAAAACGAATATACTGCTGTGACATTATCACAAAGACAGAGGATTGTCAGTTCAACATATAAGGACTATGCATTATCGATTTTAACGATAGCAGAAATTCTGTAAATACTTTCCAACACTTTCCTTTGATTACTAAAACCAAAGTTTACATTTGCATGGTCACACAATTATGATTTTGTTTTTCATGTAGCCTGTTGTGTGTTTGCAACAGAACCATCGATAAACAGACAAATCTTTATATTACCAGTGAACAAGCTGAGCAGTCTAAGCAGACGAACCGTCCCCATGAAGAACTCAGAGGCTTCCTTCTTTTCAGTGAGGGACCTTTGACCGTTTAATGTCTGAAACACAGCAGCTGGAACAATGTTTCTACAGTTAGATCACGATAAGTCTGCTGCACATTAGTCGTAAGTCTCTCTGTCACTCAGGACTGAATGTTTCATCGATTTCAAATAGAATCACAATTTGAAACGATTTAGCAAATAGCAAAGGCTTCAATTTAGAACTCACGGTGCATGTCTACTCCAGGGTTTAAAGTGTCATGTCCTTATTTCATGCTTTGGATGAAATCTCATGAAGTCGTGCTCCATTACGATTTAAGCCTAATACACAGTTTATGTTGAACTAAAGGTTGACTTGACAAAATTATTCATTTAGATTCAGAAAAAAAAAGACATTATTTTCCCAAATTGCTCAGCCCTATAGTCTCAAGTCCTTCCAGGTTTAACGAAGTAGAATAAAGGTTTTTCTTAGCTTTCAGTTATTAGCAACACGGACCATTATTTCACCAAACACTGAGCAGAGTATATGAACAAGAGGGCTTACCGAGCTGGATGAGCTGCTGTTTGAGTGTGTCTGTGATGGCCCACTGATCTGTTACTGTGCTCAAGCCCACTTTTTCACCACAGCCTAATCCCCTCTACACCCCTTTTGTAACTTTCAGCCTCAAACAGGAAACTTGCTGAACTCATTTAAAGCAGCTAACCTGAACTATGAGAACGCTTGAAAGAGAGGCTGTCTTGCTTTTTATTGACAATAGTGGTTTGTGGTACGATACACGTTAGGGCACAGCTGCAAGGCGTAAGATGCATTAAAGTGTTGTGCAAATGTGCAAGGCACTGAACATGAAGAGACCAGTGTCTATTTTGTTGATTTAGTAATTCATTTTAGAGAGATTAAACCAACATTTGGTCCCTCAAAGAACAGCACTAACTCTCCTGGATGTCCTGACACAGAGGTGGAACACCAGAGCTGCTTCAAGTGCTCTGCTATTCTGCTCCTCGTGCTTCGTCTTCTATGTAGACGTGGCTGGAAAAAGATGGAAAAACCTAAATACAGATAAACCATGACAGCAAACTGAAGAAATAAAGACTGTTAGCTCTATATCACTAGAATTTAAACAAATACATATTTATATAAGGTCATAAAACTTAACATCAGGTGGAATAGTGGTGAAAAAAGTGCAGTGCAGACAACATCAGCCGCCTAATGGGACGATGTCACTGCGGCCTGTAGAAACACAGAGGTATGACACATGGAAAAACACTAAACCAATCAGATAACACATGCATGAGAGTACCTCACACCGTCTGTGTACTTGCCTGCAGCTCAACCACATAACTACTCCATGTATGTCAGGTAATAGCAACCAAACAATGCAACCCCCCACCGCAAAAAAAACCCCAAAAAACTTTTTCTTAAGGTTTACATCTATTTACAAAAGTGAAGACTTTTAACATTCTCCAAAATATTGTGTTGAAAAAAAGAGACTTCACTCATTGATATTTAAG